CTCATTTATTTATTAACCGCTAAGCTAAGGAATTTTGAGGACGAAATGTCAAAAAGGACGAGTGATTTGTAACACCCAAAACAAAGGTAAGCATAAACTTTTTCTAAACATTAACGTATTTTCATTAATTTTAATTTTAATATATATAGAAGTACATCTATATTACAAATCAGCATTTATAAACTATTTTGTATTAAATAAATATTGAACAACTGAAAAAATTTAATTAAACTTTCTACTGTAGCATTCCACTTACATAAGCATGCAATGGTTGGATGATCGAGTGCTATAATTAACGGCTGAGATTGTTTTGGGAAGCAATAATAGAACATGTTCATTAATATAATAAAGTTAAGTTAAGTTATACTTCCTCCCGTAGCTCTCGGTAATTAGAAAGCAAGTGGTGGTCTAAAGAGCTGGGAAGGGCTAGAGCGGATGCAGACTGCTAGAGGATTGCTGAAATTGTTAAAATCAATGGGTCAGTGTGGAATTCAGTTAAGGTAAGGGGCTGCTACTGCATATATTTAAAAGGGGACTACTGTAATGGGCTAAAATAGATTAAGAGTTGCGGTAGTAGTTATTAATCAATGAGAAAAAGAGAGAGAGCTACAAGTTATGGTTAAGTGCAGGTCTTTGACTGCTGAAGAAGATGTAGTAAAATATGAACTTATGGAACATGTAAGAAATAAAATTTAATTAAAAGCTATAGTTAGCATTTCTGAATCAATATTTGCTGAATTATTTATTGCTGTCAAATATTGTAATCTATAGTGTCGAAATTAAGTTGTTAAATGTTAGTTACTTAATTCAGATTTAAGCATACATTTCAAGTTGGTTAAAATTGGTAAGAAAAAAGGGAAACCCTTTCTATTATATACACCAAAAAGAATAGTCACCTCTTTTTGTCTAATATCTTATGGGCTCCTCCCCTTTTCCGGTAATACAATCAATGCTAATGAGCTAAGGGATAATGAAATACACAAGCAATACATAAAAATAATAATAATATTATTAATAACTAATTTAAAACCTATTGGAATTCCATAATGATCATAAAAAATATATAACATTATTTTTTATCTTGTTAACTGTTCAATACTTTAGATAAGTCATATGATTGCTATAAGCTTTTGCACCATTTCAGCTTTTCAATTCAAGGTTGATTTTTATTCACACGTACTTATAATAAATAAAACAAGCAATATGAATATCTTACAAAAATATATAACAAAATACCTCAATTGAATTACTCCTTCACTTAGCTCTTTTTCTCATTTTCTTAGTTATCTACTGATTTAAACATTTCTTCGCCTCAAAAGAATTTTATGTGAGGTGAGATATCAAAATAATGTATAGAAAATTTATATAAATTATATATATTTATAAAATCATAACTGTTATATTTATGATAGCATTTTAATTTCAAGTTATTTATATAATTATTGATTCATTAATTAGTAACTACAATAGTACAATTTATGCATGTTAAAATTGAATGAAATTGAAAAAATGAAATAAGTCATATTTGAGTGATAGATCCATACAAGTAAAGGCAAAAAACCTTACGAGGTAAGCCTACACTCTCAAAATTCTAAAAAATGGGAATTTAAACTCAACCTTAAATGAGAGAGCAACTCTAGTTCTAAAAGTTGAAAAATTCAGATCCAACCTTGAATTGAATAACTAAAAGAGTTCAAAAATTATAATTATCATATGATTTGTCTGAAGGTGTTAAACATATAACAAGATAAAAAATAATGTTATGCATTTCTTATGATCAATATAAAATTTCAATGCATTCTAAATTAATTATTAATAATGTTATTATTATTTTAATATATTGCTTGTATATTTCATTGAACTCTAGTTCATTAACAATGATTATGTACGACAAGAAAAGGGAATGAGCCTGTAGAACATTAGACAAAAAAATGTGGCTGTCCTTTTTTGTGTACATAATAGAAAGGGGTTCTTATTTTTCACACCGATTTCCTCCAACCAGAACTGAATTTTGAAATCTAAATTTAGCAACCATCACTTAGCAATTTAATTTTGGCAATATAAATTACAACATTTGATAGCAATGAATATTTCAACAAATACTAATTAAAAATACTAACTACAGTCTTTAACTAAATTTTCTTTCTTACCTACTTCTTAAGTTCTTATCTTACTGCTTTCTCCCTAACAACCAAAGGCCTACACTTAACTGTAGCTTGCAATTTCATCTCTTTTTCTCATTGATTAACAACTACTACAACAACTCTTAATTCATTTCAACTCACAACAACATCCCCCTTTTAAATATACACAGCAGCAACCCCTTATCTCAGTTGAATTCCACACTAGCCCACTGATTTCAGTAATTTCAACAACCCTCCAGCAGTCTGCATCTGTTCCAGCCCTTCCCAGCTCTTTAGCTCGACACTTACTTCCTAAATACAGAGAGCTATGAGAGGAAGTAGTAAAATGATAAGGATAGTGTAACTTAACTATATTTATATTAATGCACGAGTTCTAGTATTACTTCCCAAAATAATCTCAACCGCTAATTACAACACTTAATCATCCGCCCTTGCATGCTTATGTAAGTAGAATGCTACAGTAAAAAGTTTAATTTAACTTTTAAATTTTTTACTATTTATTTAATACAAAATAATTTATATATGTTGGTTTGTAATATAGGTGTATTTCAATATATACATATCAACATGCTTCAAATTTAAAATTAGATTTAATAAAAATACATTAACGTTTAGAAAATGTTAATACTTACCTTTGTTTTGGGTATTACAAGCAATACATTTATTGAGAAGTTTGATAGAGAAGTATAAAGAGAATAAGGTGGATCAACATATATTTTTTATTAATTTAGGAAAAGCATATGATAAAGTTCTAAGAGAAGTGGGAGAGTTCCAGATAAGGAAGGGGTTAATAATGTTTATATTCAAGTTATTAAGGATATTTATGTAGGAGTTGTTGCTTATGTTCAAATACAAGGTGGTTTGAACAAGTATTTTCCTATTTCAGTTGGATTACATCAAGGATCAGCCATAAGCCCATATTTTTTTGCTTTAGTCATAGATGTTCTCACTAGACATTTGCAAGAGGATGTACCCTAATGTGTGATTTTTGCTGATGATATTCTTCTTGTTGATAAGACTAGAGAGAGATTTGAAGGTAAACTTGAATTATAGAGGTCAACCTTAGAGTCTAAAGGCTTTCATTTGAGTAGATCTAAAACTGAATATATGGAGTGTAATTTTAGTAATAATAGATTTAGTGGGGGGATAGTGACTTTGGGTGATCAAGTCATTAATAAGAGCACATGTTTTAGATATATTGGGTCTATTTTTTATAGTGATGGTGAAATAGATGGGAATATTTTAAGTTGAATTGAAGTTGGATGGTTGAAGTGGAGGAATGCATCGAGCTTGTTATGTGATTGAAAAGTCATTCTTAAACTTAAGTAAAAATCCTAAAAGATGACAGTGAAAACTGCAATACTTTATGGTGCAGAATGTTGGCCATGAAAAGATAAGCATAATATTAAGTTAAGTGTTGCAGAGATGAGGATGCTCAGGTGGATAAGTGGCTTTGCTCTTAAATACAGGATAAAAAATGAGCAAATACGTGAAAATGTCAGAGTAGCTCCAATGGAAGATAAGATTAGAGAGAGTCGCTTTAGATTGTTTGGTCACATAAAATGGCGGCCTAACAATAACCCGGTTAAAAAAGTAGATATATTAGATTTGACTTATTTTCAGAAAGGTAGATGTAGACCTAATAAGACTTGGGTAGAAAATATTAGAATTCACATTTTTTTTATTAGATTTAGATGATAATTTGATCCTTAACATGACAGAATGGAGAAAAAAGATTCATGTAGCCGACTCCACATAGAGGGATAAATGCATGTTATTGTTATTGTAGCATCTATTTAGAGAAATTATGCTTTTCGGTTTAACGTATTACAATAAATAGGAAATTTAGGGCTTGTAATTTATCGTTGTAAGATCATTTAAATCAAATATATTTGTTTATCTCTCTTTTTCAATGAATTCTAGATTCCTCCTTCAGCTAGCTCTCTTAATACCCTCTTCTTCATCCTTGGCGCTTTTAAGTTTTCTTTTTACCGTTTGTCAAATTGGCAGCATTAAATTCGATTTTTCTCAAGCAATAACTGTTCAGCCCAAATTCAAGAAATGCCTTGATTATATAATACAGAATATTGAGAAGAATATCTAGAACATATTTCCTTGATTCAAATTCTATTTAGAAAGATGATATCACATAAATTATATAATCTTTCTAAATGAGCTGATGAAACTCATATGTGATCATCTACCCTGGAAATTATTTCAGGAAAAAAAAAACCATTTCAAGTATCCTGTGCTCTCATGTGTATAGTACACTATAGGATATTGTGGACCCACCAAAACAAAAGCACCACCAGTAAGAATTAATTGGCTCAGGTGGTATTGCTCCACCTCATAAAGTGTGAGGTAAGAATTCTGTTGAGCGGTTGAAAGAAAAAAAAAACAATAAAATAAAAAGTAGACCCGTTTTGTATGACCTAATTAGAAGCTCCACAGGCAGAGAAACAAGTCAGTGGATAACAATTATCCTGTGTTCAAGTAGCATCAATAGAAAGTCAAGAGGAAGATGGGTTGCAAAATGTGTGCTTACTTTTCTTTTAGTCTCATCCCATATGCAGTTAAGGTTTAAACCTCTCTGCTCAAACTAGTATGACTCTACAATAAAGTGTTAGATGAAACTTCGTCAAAGACTAAAAAAAACTATTGAAAGGTGATCATAAGCTAAATATATAAATCCATACGATCTAAGATGAATGATCAAAGAACAGAAAAGGTAAATAATGTAAAATAAGTTCATAATAAGAGGAATCCAAAACTCACTACTACTAGTATTTGCTTTCTTATGTTCGAATAAAATGCAGAAGAAAACAACAGTAAAGTTTCATTCAGGTAAAAAAATACCTGAAGAGTCAGAGCACTGGTGTGCTTGGTAACCAGGAAGTTCGTCAGATTCACAAAATATGCCAGAGAAGAGTTAAACAAGAGGTACCAAATAATTTTGACATCTTTTCTAGCAAGGGCAAGTGTAATGCCAACCACATTCTCTTCCATGAAAAGTGTAGCAGGAAGCAAGAAGACCACGGCTATTGGAGCCATATATAGCAGAAGATTCATTGAGTTCAGCTTCTCCCTGATGAAAAATTACACATACAAACAGGTCTGAGTAAATTTTAGCACCGCCCACCAAAGATGACTAGGAAAAAAAAAAGCAAATGCAGAGTTTGAGCCATATGTGGAAGACAGCATACAATTCCATTTGATAATCAAGGCAGGATGGCTACAAATTGGCACATGAATGCCTGATGGAAGGGAAATATTTACCCCTCAGATGATAATAAAATCCCTTGTAAAACTGATTTCAGTGCCCTTGCAGCAGTAGCACCAATGCACATGATAAATCCAAATAAGTGAAAACTTGGCTCTCCCTGCAGAGGAAAACAAATAGGAATCAATAAGCACAGTACTCATTTTAAGGAACATAAATTAAATTTAAGGAAAATTTTGGTCTGCAGCAACTCATTACTATGGTCTAAATTTGGTAAAATATAATGCAAATCCCTATGAAGGTTCAAAGTATGTCCATTGTTGCTGTGGTAACAACAGTGTTAACCAAGGTGTATTGACCATGCTATAAATATTCTTTTTTTTTCTTTTCTGCCTCGGCCAATTTTTTTAGTTTGCACTTTCCATTAAAAGGTCTTTTTAACCTTTTTTTTATTATTATTAGATTTGAATGAGAAGTTGACTCTTAATAGCATACAATGAAGAAAAAGAATTCATGTAGCCAACTCCACGCAGTGGAAATGGGATAAAGGCTTATTGTTGTTGTTGTAAAATTGTGTTTTATTGTCATTGGGTGCAGCCAGCATTTGAAGTTGTTTAAGAGCCATCAAAAACTATGGTTTGAAAATCCTAGCAAATCCTCCTCTTTACTTGTCCTTCTAACCTTCCGCCACCTACTTGAGACTTTAAACCCCCACTTCCACTCATAAAACTAAGCCAAACGCTTCCGAAAAAGACAACCTGCTCTCAATCCAACTATGATCAATAGAATTCTAAAGCTTTTATCTTTCTCAACACTTAACCAATTGACCTCCAACACCTTCCTTAGTTCTTCAACATCCCAAATGAAATGGAGATCCTCTCCCCTTCCAAGCAAAGAGAATCCCCCACCCCCCAACATCCAGATCAAGTTAGTCCCAAATCAGCCCACAACTCCACTACTAGTCAAGCTTTTCTTAATCTTCCACCAACCAGAATTCTTCCACCACTTCTCCACCAACCCAATAAACCCGTCCACCAATCTCCCCATCATTTGATATCAAAGAAAAAGAAATCCAAATACTCATTTTCATTGTCCTAAAGGAGAGGAAAAAATATAATTCCTAAGAGGCATAGTGACACCGCCACACACATGACAATCTTTTCTCCAACAAAGGCTTACTTGGCCATGGTGACCCCACGATTTTGGTAAATCTAAAAGTTTCATTATTTGAGTCCCTTATTTGGAAAAAAAAATAGAAAAAAAAAGACAATACTTGTTCACATGTTTGAATGCAACTTCATGGTTATTGCATTAACCGTAAGTAGTCACCTCGAACAATCAAAATCAAATCAATTTTCCTATTCTACACATACAAACTCCACTTGAGTATCATCCTTGGTAAGGAAAAGTTACATAAAAAAGAATTCTTTAACCTTAACCTAGAATGTAGATTTTCCACATAAATTTTTTGGACTTTTTTTGTGGTATATTTTGCTTTATTTGCATATGTAAAATTAGCATTGCTCTTTAAATCTATTAGTAAAAGAGCATGCAACCATAAAAAGCCAAAAGCCAAAAAAATAAAAATAAAAATATTAAAAAAATCTTTCGTTTGGATAATAAGTGCATTCATTTTACCTTGTATGTAATTTTTTTAAAGCAAATTCAACAAATTTTTTTGCATAAAACCAAACCTAATAGAACTTTGTCCCAAAAAAAAAACATAAACTAATTAAGGAGAGCATGGGATGTAATCGGCCTTCGTGACCTCCTCATCACCCTAAAAGTTCATTTTAGACAAAGCTAATTCCAAAGCCCGGTATATTTTACTTCTCTTATTTCCATATTTTCAAAAGTATTATTGCATCTGCATCACCACCATGCCAACCAAATATGCAAACCCAATATAAGGTAGAGGAGCTCAATAAGAGATTAGTAGAATTAGAGTTTAGCATAGAAGATAGAAGTCAAAAGGATTATAATTAGGTTCAATAATAAAGATAGCAAATTTAACAATATTGAAAAATTGCTAAAACAAGTTTTGCTAAACCAACAAAAAAGTCGAGCACCACATGATTTTAAGGATGACCTAGAATTTAGCCCTAACGTTAATACAAATACTAGAAGACCTCACAACCCACAACCCACGACAACAGCATGAGGAATAATAATTTGATGACCCAATTAGGAGAATAAAAATTGAGGCAACCACTTTAACAATTGTTATGACCCAAATAAATTTCTAAATCAGCTCACCCAAATTGATGAATTATTTGGTACAAGATGTATGATTACCAAAAGATGAATTTTACTAAACTTAAATTAACTGATGTAAAAATATATTGGAATATTATTTAGTCTAATGAAAAAAAGTCCATAAGTGGGAGGAAATTAACGAAGAAAGAGATGGTAGAAGACTACACAAGTGAGAAGGAAATGAAAGAAAAGCTTAGAACCAAATATGGTCCTCGGCAACATGATTAGAAAATACACACCCAACACTGCACCCCAAGGCAAGATAACATGATGGTGATTGAATTTCGCAATACTTTTAGAAGAATAATTGTATAAAAGATATGAATGTGTTATAATGGCATCTTCCTTATCTTCTGCACCCTAGTTGGGCATGATCAACTACAATATAAGAGTCGCTTCATGTGGGGTGTTTATATTGACCATAAAGGAATTGATCCAATACAACAATATTATTCCTAGAAGATTTCAATATTTTAGATTATTATAGAATTTAATTTAGTCTTGTTTTAAATAGATGATAGGATTGTTAGGAGTTATCTAAATTTAAATGAATTTAGTTGTAGCTTGTAAACCTAATCATATAAATAGAGGTTAAATGGTTGTTATTTGGATTATTAAATTTGGAAAGATTTTATTACCCTTTAACCCCTTCTTCGAATTGCGCTCCACTCTCTTTCTTCTTGATGCTTGTTTCATAGGAAAGAGAATCTGATTTCACACATGCAACCCAAGTAATCAACTTTCTCTTTCTTGCTGCATTCTGCAATTCCCACTCGAATTTCATATGCAATCTCTCCTCCCTGCGTGTATGGGATGAATTACTTTATGTAATTCAAGCAAAAAAAAAAATAAAACTTCTTGGAAAACCTACACCCAACAAAAAAGTAAGGGAGATGCTAAGGGAATAAGAAAATAAAGAGTAACAAGAACTTGAGAAAGAGGGAGGCATGCAGAAGAGGAATTGGGCACAAGAAAAAGATTTTCTTCAATCCAGAGTTATAACCATATATCTCAGCCTACAAAAAGTAAATGGTGATCAAAGCATTTTGCCAAACAGCCTAAATATGAATCATGAAATTAAGTGAGTTTGGATGATGAAAATGAAAACGGGAAAAAAGGGAAGAAGATTAAACAAAAAGGAATATCTTGCCAACCTTGTTATCTCATTTGATTACTAAAAAAGAAAATGAAACTAAAAGGGAAAACTTATCAAACCTGTCTCATTAGAGTAATGAAAAATAGGCAAACAATAATGGCGCACCATTATAGAAAGTGCTTATGAGAAAACAAAGAAAATCATCACAGTTTTATTCTGAAATTTTATTACAACTCGATACAACAATATAGAAAGGGGATCCAAACTGAAGTATTAAAAACACCATTTATACTTTTAGAAAATTAATTCATTCCTAGTCTTTCAATCATTAATTTTTTTTCAATTATCATGCACCTCAATAATTATCATGTGCATGATACACATAACTTCAACTCGCTGTCTTCCTAATGTTCATTTCTCAGTGAAAGAAGGATTGAATCTTTTTCTGATAATTGAAAATTTTTCTGATAACTGAATGTAGCAAGTCATATCAACTTTCTTTTAAGTTTTGATAGCCTAGACACAAATGAAAAGATGGACAACTTGAAGCTCAACATTCACATAAGGCCTGATATTTCTACGAAAAATTTGCATGATCAGCATGAATATCGAGGCAAAATTTAAATTAAAACTTTCATGATTAAAGTCAGGATCATCTGAACTCCAATTTCAACAAACTTTTAGTCGAACAAAACATCTCAACAAGACAAACCCAATGATACCATAAGTGGTTCAATCCGAGCCTAAATGAGACCAAATCAAGCACTTGATGTATAACTAAAAACTTTAGAAATTGATTAGATGAACAAAAGATCTCCAAATTTAGCATGCTTATAGTCGAATCGAGAGACTCAATGACTCAAATTTCAATAAGCCTAAGATCACTTAATTTCGTCGAATCGAGCGACTCAATGACTCAAATTTCAATAAGCCTAAGATCACTTAATTTCGACATTATTAAGTCACTTAAATGCTAAGAATATGCTTTATGATCAAGGCAATTAATAAAACCGTCCAATGGAGTGTTTTGGATTTTAGCCCAATTTACTAAAATGACTTATGCTAAGAAAGATAGAGGTATACCTAATAAGACTTGATTAGAAAATATTAGAAATGACATTTCTTTATTAGATTAAAATGAAAATTTAACCTTTAATAGGACACAATGGAGAAAAAGGATTCTTAATAGGACACAATGGAGAAAAAGGATTCTTGTAGCCGACACCATATAGTGGGATAAAGGCTTGATGTTGTTGTTGTTGTTGTTACTAAAATGACCATCTAAGGCCTCATTCTCTACAAAAGGGAGGTCCGAGAGCTAAGAGAACAAAAGAGCTCTCTAGCATTTTGTGGTTATAATAAAAAACCACTAGTTATCACTTCCAAAGATCACAGCCAATCGTCATCACCACTGATGACCACCACCAACAATCACCACCATCATTTACAAACTCATGTCAATATCTAACCCTATTATTGGGTATGCACTCTCCGACCATCACTAGCAATCATTTCTCCCATCTCTAGACTACTGTCAAGATCTAACCTTGCTATTAGATATTAACAGTATGTATGTTGACACCTAATTTTCGTAATCCCTATATAAAAATTCAAATATTTATTCTCAAATAGTCCTCTCCTCTTCAACTGTGAAAAAGAGAAGGTTCTTGCATCTCCTACCATATAATGGAATTTTCAACTGAGTTAGGCCCTATGGTTTTTTCCTTTTCATATTCTCCATGTAAAAAATTTATAATCTCTTACAACTTTTTCTGTGCGGCTGAACTTTTGTCCAAAACTAAGATATAAATGTACACTCTACCGCCGTAAATCTCCTTGCACGTAATAAGGACTATGGATGCATTATGACTAAGGAATAAGAATAATTATGATTAATAAAGTACCATCTTTAGCTGTGATTCTATAAAAAAAAATAAACAAAAACAATCCAAACCCCACAATAGAATCAGTTAACTAGCAATATGCATGTTGTCATTACCAGCTAAAGGATGAAGAATACCACCTTCCTAAGACGTTGGTCCTTAATCCTACACTAAACCACAGCAGAAAGTCCTTTAGTAAACTTGTATGGAAAACATTACCCAATCATAAGCCCATCTGGCTTCAGAAAATCAATAACTCGTTCATTCGCGGAAAAGGAACTAAATTGGCAGAAGATAAGTACCAACAAGCAGCCAAATTAAACTACAAATCTTCTTTAAGCAACAAACACAAGGAACATTCAATAATAAGACAAAAAAACACAAATTAAAACCATAAAGCAATTCAAAACCAAAAGAGGTCACAGGTCAGCATTTATTCATCGTGCCAATTAGCATGAAGCTCATATCACGTCTCCGGAAAAAAATATGCAAAAAAAAAAGTAAACGCAGTACGCGAATATTAACTCAACATATCAGCCAACTAATTACAAATTAAAATAAGGAATAGGCACACTTAATAGTAATTCGATATTATGAAATATTAAACTAAGATCTGCAAAACAAGGAAGGGTATGTGAATAATCATTCCAAATTCCACCCAAGTAATTCGATATTTTGAAATATTAAACCCCTGACTCACCCCACTGGCTATGACAACGCCAGTGACAACGGGGATCAATGTGACGTATGTAATCCACGCCTCTCGTCGCACTGTCATGATATAGGCGAACACGGCAGTGAAGAAGGGCGTTGTCGCGCCGACGGCCTGGTTGAAGGAGACCGGGAGAAAACGCAAAGATATATTTCCGCTGACGACAGATCCGCAAAAGACAAGGCTAAGCGTGGCGATTTTGACGAACTGAAGACGAGACCGCACGGCCTGCATCGGAACGAGCTTCATCCACGCGATGGCGACGTAGCTGAGCAGCGAACACGCCGTCATGTGGCACATAGTCAGGAAGATAGGGAACTTGAAGCCGTAATTGCTCAACAAATACTTGTTCAGAAGCAGCACGCCAATGTTGGAGGAGTACCACGAGATCACCAGCCCCACCGTGAACAAGCGGCCGTTGACAGCCGGAACCGGCAGGATAACCTTCCCGGTCATCGTACCCTCTCCTGTTCCGCCTCCGGCGAGGTGCGGCCAGCAGGATCAAGTTCCGACCCTCTCCCTCCGATAAATGCCTGCCTAGAGTGTAGTTCAACTAGGGTTCGCAGCGGCGGCGCGCGAAGCCTGCTCGCGACGGCTGACGGAATTAGGTTTGTGTCGGCGAAGCCCAGGGGCATTGGCTGGAATATCCAGCCGCTTTGCCCCAATTTTTCTCCCTTATTTAGCGCCGCGGTCCTTATTCTCCATGTTACCCCGTCCCCTGGCTACCGTCCACATTTTATATATAAAAAGAAATATTACCCAAATAAACCTATAAAAGATGGTATGAAAAAGTATAATGGGTTATTTAGTTGTGCAAAAAAAGAATGTATTGTTAAGTAAATATGATATAAAATAAAACAATGTCTTTTAGAACTATTTGATTATATGTAAATTAAGTGTAAGAGAATTATTTTTCTTATTTGATGAGATATATACAGAGTAAAATAAAATTAGTCTATTTTGATAATTTTGCTATGGAATTAAAAATAACATATGAATTTAAAGGCAGACATACAGAAAAATAAAATTTATTATAAAATTGAAAAAAAATCACGTAGAAATAGCTAATCCTATAGGTCATCTAAACTTATAAACCTAAGAGTTTGTTTGGTAGCAGTATCTGAGAAAGATTTGAGGTAAATCCAATCAAACGCAAAAAAAAAAAATGAACATCTTCAATCTCACGGAGAATTAAATCCTCTTTTTGTCGTAAATTTCCCTTATAGTTTGATATATTTATGGGATTTGGCTGAAGAAGCTCGCTAAGGGGGGAGAAGGATGGTTACCTTCGATCTAGCAGGAGTAACATCGCCAACCATCATGACTTTTGATCAGAGAGGAAGGGAACGTCATCAACGGAGGCGAAGGAGCTTTTAGCGACTCGTTCAAAACTCTACCTCACACGAAGCAGGCGAAGTCAAATAACAATGAAGAAATGGAAAAGGGGAAAAGAAAAACCTCGACAGGCCTAAGGCTATTAGAAGAGAATATTATCATGAAGAGAAGGAAGGAACCTGCGAAGCTCAGTGGGAACTTCATGGGCAGGACGTGAGAGCGAAGGCCTGCAAAAGCCAGACAGTCGGGGTTTCGCTTCTTTTTGCTTGAGAGAGTTGCAACGTATTTGGTACTTGCTCGATTTGAATACACCGCAAAATGCTACAACGAGATCAAAATGTTTTAGTTTGCGTTGCACCAAACAATAAAATATTTAAAATGCGTGTGTTCCTTTTGTAGTGCACTTTAAATGTGCGAAACCAAACAACCCCTAGCTTTTTATCATATAAAAAATGAATGGCATCATCTTAAAATGGATATTTATATGCATAACACTTTAAAATCTCATTTGTAAATATCTAATATATAAATCTCTTATTTACAAATATAACATATAAAAACTCTTAAATCAATCAAAAAAAGTCACTCCAATCTACTACATTGTCGATAATTGCTTGAATACTTAATGTGCAGTTTGGGAATGACTCTTCCAATATATTAATGGACCATTTTTACTAAGACAAATATTTGTTTTTTCATCGAGCCAATTATATCCCAGTAATTAGCTTGAGAAAAAGCCAAAATTAAAAGATGCCTAATTCGCCATAGAAGACAATCATGACATTGGTGATTTTCTCATGTAGATTTCTTTGAAGAAATCATCTTTCGACTCCAAATTGAATATATTACTAACAACAAGCACTTATTGCTTTTAATCAAACCAAGAAGTTTATAATTCACATGAAAGCAAATAGACTCGGCTCTATATTGTGCCAAGCACCTTAAATAAACAAGCATCTTTTCGACATTTTAAATGTTAGTGCATGCCCATATAAAATAAAAATATTTTGAATGAATGTTAGGTATCTATGAGAAAAATATCTCTATCATTGTACTGTTAAGTTGTTATGCCCCAAGATTTAAACTGGAAGAATTATTTATTTTATATTTTTAATCATTATCAGAGCTTCTATAAATAATCAACATAAATCAATCTATCTTGCAAAAGCCATTGAATATCATATACAAGGAAATATTTCATTATGTTCATTCATAAAAATCACATTTTAATAGCCAGAAGATCACTAATAATCAATAATCTATCAATAGATCCTGATTATAAAAAAAATAAAAGTAAAAGAAGAACTTGTTGATCTCAATAAGTCTCACTCCACACGATCATAATCCCTTCCCTAACCTGAAATCAGTAAAACCACATAATGAGCTTATAAAGCCTAGCAAAAATCACTAAAGCTTTCAATATAGGATCTAAGAGATCAATATACATGCTCATCTGAATCATTAGAATTAGTACCTCAATCATCACTTGTACAATTCAGTATAATCAATGTTGACATCGATTTTGATACGATTTTCCCTCAATCATGTTTGATCAGGCTAATTGAACTCCGTCTAGCTTAATCCAATTCAAGTCAGTGTCGATACAGGTTCAATTGCATCTATTCGAGTTCAATTATTATTAAATTGACCCGACTGGACCTAAATTAACTTAAATCAGACTTGAATTGAATCAAATCAGGCCCGACTATGTTCAATCGAATTCGATTGACTTGAGAATTAGCACTGATTTGTGTCTAATTATGTCAAATAAATTTAGTTGGAATAAATTGGACTCAAACCGAGGCCGACTCGAGCTCAAATAGTTTGTCATTCAACCATTTGAAATCAACGGTTGTGATCACCCTCATTTTTAATCATTATCGAGTCTACTTCAACAACGGTAACAGAAAGGGTATGCGCATAAGATCTCTTATCACCATTGCGATAGAGATTTGCGGTCGTTGTCGTGATAGGCATCATTCAGAACATAGGCATGTTTCTTCCATCTCTTCAGGTCATGAGTGAGAAAAGATAGCCCCGAGCAGCCAAATTTTCAAAAGGATCATGATTTCAAAATGTATTAGCAAAAGGATTTTAATAATAAAAAAATTAAAAATGATCATCCAAGTGAATATGGATAACGTTTTTTAAAGAGAACGCAAAGTAATGCCACATTTTACATTGAAAACACAAAGCATGTATGCATTTTCCATGTAAACGAAAAGCATGTATGCGTTTTTAATAGAAAATGCAATTCATCAATGTGTTTTCTTTGAAAACATTACATACAAGAGCCGAAGCTTATTTTCATTACGTAATATTTTTTAAGAGCCGGGGTGTTGGAAGTTATATTTGTATAAGAGTAACAGAAATAGGATATGAATATAGAGATTTTAAAAAAATTTAATTAAATTTTAATTACTTTAAATTTCATAAAATATTATTAGTAAAATAATGGTAAGTTATATTTAATATTATGTTTTTTAAATCTATCATAGAATAAATATAATATTAGTAAATATAAAATATATCAAATATGATATAAAAATAAATATTAATGAAGAATAACAAATAAATATTATTAAATATATTACATCATATTAAATATGTTTTTAAATCAGATATAACTATTAATAATTTACTTTTCTCATACATACACATTTATAATCTATCTAATTAAAAAATAACTTGATTAATTAATATAATTGATTAATCCATAATTATATAATTATAAAATAACTAAAACTAAAATATAAAAATTAAACTTAAGATTTAAAGGACGGCGAACTGGATATTAATACACCAGATTTCTTAGCGAATCGGATAATGGAAATCCGATTCTTAGAAAATCACAATTAAAATATTCCGATTTAAATTGAGAAAAAATAAATAAATAATAAAAATATATAACATATGACTATAAATAAATAAAAGTAGTTATTAGTAATGTTGCTTTTATATACAAATAATTACTTATTGATTCTATATTCCATAATATGTTATATTGGACGAGAATTTGTTTAAAAAGTTTTTAAATTTAAAATGAAATTATAATTATTTATTAAATATTTATATAAATTCTATTAAATGTTATATAAGTACAAAATATTAGTATTAATAGATAATCTAATGTTAAAATTTGTAATAAATAATATTAATAACAAACAAGTCATATTAATATATTCTATATAAATATTTACATATAAACAATAGATTTATTATTATAAATAGGTAATATAAAATGCTTATGTGTTACATGCAGGCTAAGTTTATATTATTGATATATTTGCTTTGAGTGTTTACTAAATTCAATATCTAAATTTTTCATCATTTTTTACTTCTAAATATTGACTTATATACAAGTTTAATAGAAATAAAAACTAAAAAAAGATGATAAGATAAGATATCATTTTTTTGGATTTAAATAATAAACCATTATAATAGGCTTTTTTCAATATTGTTTGAAAAAAATAGATAAAAGTATTAATGTAACATATTAACAATATTTATTATAATAAAGTATATATATACACATTACATTTTAATAATATATATACATTTATTAATATATATATATATATATATATATAATAATACTATTATTAATATTATATAATATATAAAATTTTATATCTCAATAATTTTTTATAAATTAAATGGTTGAATAGATCAGTTTAATATATAATATTAAATTTAAACAATAAAATTTATATTAAATTTAATTAATAAAAAATTATATTAAATTTCTGAACTCATAAGCAGCATTTTAATAACAACTAGAACCATAAATTTAGAACCAAATTAAAACATACATGAACTTACAGATTATTAAAGCATACTAACTTCAACAAAAACAGACACAAATGACATTGACTTCATATTCATTTAAAACATAAGTAGGAACTTATTATGAAGTTCTAAAAGCATAACAACTTCAACGATTATTTATCACGATGTGTGATGTTTTAAGATTTTTATTATAGTACACTACTATTTTTAGATGTCAAAATAAATTTTAGGGTAGATAAAAATTGATATATTTTCAAAATCACCAGGTAAAAAATCTCAAATAAATATTCAAAATACTCATAATCATGATCTCTATTACATAAAAAAAGTTACGCTGTGAGAGTTTTGTCAATACAAAGTTATACACATTTTTCGATAATGAAAACACAAATCTAAGCAGAAAAATATCAAAAACATAAAATATTTGAACTAAAAAATAGAGTATGGATTCCTTGCAGCGAGATGAGCAAATATCCGCTCGATGGACAAAAATCGCACAGTGACCTCCAAATCTCAATTTCATTTTTCTCTCTCCTCTAAATCTCTTTTAAATCCCTCAAACCAAGTCTCTGCCATGAGAAATGGAAAGAAAACTGGAAAAGCTAAAGGAATTTAAAAAAAAATGATTTTAGTGGTGTTAGATATTTAGGAATAAAAATAATATAATATTCTTTAATTAGATAATTTACTCAATTATCAATAGAAAAATCTATAAATCTATTTGGGACTTTAAAAAATTACAAAAAATATCCATAAAATAAAACATAATATTTAAAAAATATCGGTGAAATCGTTTTGCAAAACGGAAATCCGACAATCCAGAAATCCTCACTGGTACCAAATTCTTAAAGGATTTTCACTAGTGTCCAAAAATTATAAAAAAAAATTCATGTAAGTAAAATAATTCGATCAAAATACCATGACGAAGATGGATTTCGATTTGGACTTATTACGACTCTAAAAAAAAAATTGGCCAAGTCAAAATACATGATATGACACGATGTGTATCCGAGCTTGGAGTTGGGTTTGGATTGGGTAGCAACCAAATTTTTGTTGATACCAATATAGGACGCATTGCCAATCCGATGCAACCAGAAACTCTTTCGTCGTTTTACCTGACAAATATATCAGATTCTCATACGTCTTAACCAGGAATGTATCTGCCGCAGGATGTCATTTTCGATAAAGCATACAGCGACATGTATTAGTCGTTGGGTTGTCCAAAATCACCTCAACCGATTCATCTTCAAACCTTCTTATTTCAGCATGTCTTGCCTTCATAATCTTCATCGGTGTTAGATATCCTACTATTTTCAAAACATTCCTTTACACATATTTCCAACCTTCTTCGTTCAAACCGGTTTCATCCCTGCAAGAATGGATCGTCATAACTACACTGTGTATGTCTCATAATATGCAGTCTTCCTTGTCGGATCAAGAATGCACACAACAACAATAAAACTTATTTAATCTAGTCTTATCCTCTAATGCATCATCAGTGGAATATGTTAAATATTTCTTTAACCTAGTGCGACCCTCCATAATCAAGCTCTACAAAAGGATTTTTTTCTTTCTGATACATTGCACAATAACATAAAATAAGCACATGAGAATCTATAGAAGAAGTTTAGAATGAAGGGAATGACTTGCATGCATACATCAATTTATAGGCTATGTCTATCAGTTTTTATGATCAATTATGAGTTGCTTAACTAATAAATAAATAACGCAAGATGATTTGATAGCACATGCTTATTTGATTGATCAAATATAACTTGATTTAACAACATATGGTGACTTTACAACACGTGCTAAGTTGATAAAACTAGTTGATTTGATAATATAGCTAGATTTCACAGCCAAAATTTATATATAATTAAAGAACTAAATTATAAAATTAATATATAATAAATCTTAAAAACTAAATGATTTGCTTTTTTTGGTAAAAAAATTACTATAAAACATAAATTATAAAATTTAGAGAAATCATATTATTTAATTTGTAAATGTACATCAAAAGACTACTTTAATTTTAATAAAGATATTACATAATATGAATTATTTGCACATTAAAATTCAAACATAATACATCATTCATTCTTTCTGAATTGCAACTACCTTCTCTTCCTTTGTCGAAGAGCATCTATTCCAGGGGTATATCTTAAGGGTTCTCGCCTACCTACTTCTCCTATGAAGTTATGGTTCTTCTTCTTGGTCACGCTCCCCTTCCTTCTGCGCAATGCCCATGTCTGGTTGTATTTGTTCAATAATCATATCATGCTGGGTTGAAGTTTCGAGCTAGCAAAATAGGGTCATCCATATGGGATTTTTCAAATCATATGGAACTGTCCACTAAAATTATAAGAATTATCTTATTCAAAAAAATTTGATGTTGTGGAGATTCATTCACTTAAATAAAATTAGATAAAGATAATGAATACACTCTATGGATAAAATATATTAGATTGATGAATATAAATAACATATTTTTCTTATTGAATCTCTTTAATTATGATGCTATTCATAATATATGAGTCCCTATGTTCGAAATATAAAAACAAAGTCATGCGAGCAATAGCATTTGCAATTATTCTAGCATGAACTTGATTTTCAAGATTGGAAATGCCAATAATGAATTTGAGACTTTTAAAGGAAACTATTTTAAGGGGTCTCATGAAAGTATTCATGCTCGGGACACATACTTGAATCTAAAATATGTGCTGTCACTACCTGTTGACATTATGGTGATTATTCAAGTGTGTCAAGTAAATGGAGATAATGAACAAACTAAGCTAGAGAAAATTGAAGCGACTTTATATAATAAAGGATCAAATGGGTCTGATCTATCAAAGTAAAGTTAATTAGCTAAAAAAATGGATTTTTACATGCATAACACTTGAAACTACTGAAAATACATATCAAACACCTAAAATAACATATTTACTTATATACCACCTATTTCTCATATCTATTTCTATTGTACCACTCTGTTAGGTCTCCGTCAAAAAGCGCAAAAAATTTTCCGCTTACCCTCAGTCGCGCGAGGAAACATACCGGGCCGCTCGATCGCTGTTCGAACGCTTTCGCAGGCGTTGGCTTTCCTCCGGTCGAGAGAGGGATTGTCTTCTCCATTGCATCCAAAGGTCTCGCACGCCTCTGCTTCCCTTGGCATTGCATCTTCTAAGGTAAGCAAGGTTAGATTTTGATCTTCTAACACAATTTCTCGCACGCCTCTGCTTCCCTTAAGCTTTTTTGAAAATTTCTTACCGGTTTTCAAAATTTCTTACAAGCAAAGCTTTTCTTACATATTTGCATAGCTGACAATTGGTTTATTTTTTTAGAACCGCACTAAACAATGCAAGGTCGACAAGGTCATATTTTGATCTTCTAGCACAAATCTTCGGTTTCTGTTTGAGTTGATTATTTCAAAATCAGCTTTTCCAAAATTTCTTACAGATCGAAGTTATTCTAAAGTTTAAGCATTTCTTACAGATTTAAGCTTTTTTGAAAATTTCTTACAGGTTTTCAAAATTTCTTACAAGCAAAGCATTTCTTACAGATTTGCATAACTGAGAACTGATTTATTTGTTTAGAACCGTACTAAACAACGTTAAGTATTTTTTTCCGAACATGAAAGTTTCTATTATTTTTCTTTGATTTCATCTATTTAGTTGAATTTTTTTATTTTTTTTACAGCAAAAATGAGGTTGAGCTCTTCAGCGATGCCTATTAGAAACCCAAGTAATCGGATTTATTGTCATTGCAATTTGCAATGTAAAATATACACGTCACACAAGTCGCATAGTGAAGGAAGGAAATTCTACAGATGCTCCCGAAACCGATCAGAAGACGATTGCAACTTCTTTCGTTGCTGTGATGAAGTAAATGATTTGCCATATGATTCAGACTCGCGATGTGCTGAAGAACTTGCCAAAACAAGTCTATCACATATATTGTCATTGAGAGATGAAATTTTAAAGATAAAAAACTGTTGGTTATAATCCTAAGTTTAGTTGTTGCTATCGCTATGAAAAATTTGTTTACCAACTGTAATTGTAATTGTTGATTATGACTCAATCATTTGGATGTAACTATGACTATGAAATGTAATATTAATTAGCTTCTTCATCAGTGTTTACTCAATATTGCTCACGGTATATCTCTCTGTAAATCTCTGCAATGACGATAAATTGCTCTGGGTATATCTCAGCTTTGCTTTGCTATCGAGAGTCAAACAGTTTGGTTGTTACAGATCTTGCGAATTGGCAAAATCTGTGACAACAAATTAAGCCAAAGGTTACAACAATATTTAGTCCAGAAAATTCATGCAGCAAGAAAAGTCCAGTAGTAAGAATAGTTTATGTAGATATGATAGATTGAGTCCAAATCTGTTACAAGAAAATTCATAATCTGGTACAAGAAAATTCATAATGAGCCCATACGCTGAATCTAAAATCTCTTACATCAAAATCTATAACAAGAAAGTCTGTTACAGCAAAATTCAGTCTAAACAGTAACATCAAAATCTGATACATAAAAAAACCAGGTTTTAAATGGGATCAAAAATAGTAGCAGATTTTGATGTTATAACATATATTTTACTGAGTCCAAATTAAGTGGCATATGTTTGACTATTTGGATGTCGAATTGGTATTTTTCCAAAGAAAATAGGCTGAATATTCTCGTCATCCAAACTTAAAGGTTCCTTGCAAGTGCTTCTATGGTGACCCCATGAATTGCATCGACCACATTTATGATTAGTTTTTGATTTCTTTGCTCCTTCTAGGAAGTTTTTTATTCTTCTCTTCTTCGGTCTGCCCCAAGGCCTAATTGATACTGGTGGAGAAACGAATATGGAATCAGTAGGTATGGACCACTGTTCCTTCCCTGGAAGTGTTGAGATAGCTCTTTCATAAGCCATTATATACCTGCAAAATTTATTAGTGTTCATAATTTAACTCACACAAAATTAAGGTTTACAACAATTAGTGAACATACCTGTAGCTGTAATAATGTTCATCTATGTATGTGTGCCACAAATTCTGATGACTCATTCCTACAAATGCCGCAGCATGTACACAAGGAAGCCCAGATAACTGCCAAAATCCACAAGTACACATATGATTCTCTATGTTGACTTCAAGACGATCCTTTATTCCTTCAACTTCAGCATTTGTTGGATTAGACCGACGTATAATAAAATGCTCTTTTGTAGTTGTTACATCTCTAATGTACTCCTCCACGCATGGTATAAGAGGGCTCTTCCAAGAATTAGAATTTAATTTCTGCTGAGAACATTGTTCCATCAACATACCTCTTATCATGTCGATCAAATCAACAACGGGCTTATTACTCCTTGCCTCCTCTATCCACGAATTGAAGGATTCAACCATGTTATTTGTGTTGTAGTGGTTTTTAATAACCTTCGAGAAAGTTGCTTTAGAACACTTGCATGCTAAAGACATTAGGTATGAATGGACTTGTGGGCTGATGAGCAATATTTGTTGTAACTTTGAATTATACTCATGCATGTTGTAGCAATTTGCAGTAGACCAAACCAACTTCTGCAAATTTTGACCATCATTACAACGAAAATGCTTTTTAATATTTTTCCAAAGGTGTCTCATACATACTCTATGCTCAACGTTAGGAAATACCAATTTAATTGCTTCACCAAGCCCTTTCTCCATATCTGATATGAACGCTACATGCTCAATGTCAACATTAAAAGCTGTGGCCAAATTAATCATAAACCACTCCCAACTTTTCTTTGATTTTGACTCAGCAATAGAGAATGCAATAGTGAAGACACTATTGTTCCCATCCAAACAATTTGCAGAAAGCACCCAAATATTTTGATTTGAGATGACAAGCATCAATGCCAATTAAATATCTGCAGACGGCTAGGAATTCATCAATGCAAATCTTGAAACTTACAAAGAACATCTTGAATGAGTTATTTCTGTTGTCACATTGGAATATTATATGTGAGCCAGGATTCCTATTCATTAATTTCGACCTTAGTGATGGCACCCAATTGTAGTTATCATCTATTGAACCAAACATTTGGTCTCTTGCTAATTCCCTTGAACGCCATATTTTCATGTATGGTAAACATAAATCAAAACCTGTCTCCAAGTTATTACTAATATCCTTTGGTGTAATATCAGGGTTTCTTTTCACGAGGTCCTTGATTTCCTGAGCGATCCAGCTTGTACTAGCTTGCTTATTCCCCGCTCTGTTAACCCCTGGGCATAAATGTGTTGAATTTAATTTTTTAACTTCAAATGAAATGCCATCTGAAAAGCCGAGGCATGTATTCTCCATGGACAACCTCGATATGTGCAAATAACAATAACTCTATATTTGTCACTTGCTTTAATTTTGATAGCATAATTCTGTAAAATTGCATTGGTACGAATAGCTTGTTTGAAACTTGATGCATCTTCGAAATGCGAATCAACACATAAAGAATTTTTCTCTTCAACTTGAGCTGCAAAGGAACCTTCACACAATCCATCAACTATTATGTCATTGTTTGACCTTATATTCACACTAAAGTTCTGCATATCACTGCACTGAGTGTCATCTGTAAAACCCATATCTTCTTCATGATCTTTAACTACAATCACCACCTCCACTCTTTTGCTATCACATGAACTTGTAAGCATATCCATTACATCGATATCATTCAAAATCGGCATGTATATTTTTGGTGATGTTCCATTAACATGATAATGCAGTTCGCATGCATGACCCCGAATTCATGTGCAAAGTGCTTCAGTACGTTCTTTCAACACAAACAAATTAATATCACCTCTCTCAAATTTCAAAGTTTTCTAACTTCGACCAACATATTTTATCCTGCTTTGTCCCTTCACCGCATTCCAATATCCTAAATATTTGAATACAACAGAGCACAAATTATTGCTGTCCATATCTATAAAAACACTAATTAGTAAATTTTATTTCATCAAGAAAGCATAAACTATTAGAGCATAAATATAAGATCTTCTATGTTGCATTAAATATGTTATGTTTCAGTATCTTGAGCACCGTGGGATTCTATTTAAACAAGAGATTTAAATATAACTTCAATAGCTCTCAAATCCAGAATAGTGCACACTCTCAATTCCAGAAATCTAAGGGTGAAAAAGGATTGAATCTTTTAAGCATCCACTACCTTGGTGCCAATACAACTGGAACAACCGGCGTGGAGAAAAGATGCGCAGAGTGGCCAGTGTGTGCAGAAATTGAAGAGGCGTGGAGAAGGCTGAGCGGAGTACCCGGCGTGGAGGAATCGACGAGGCGTGGAGAAGGCTGATCGGAGTGACCGGCGTGGAGAAATCGACGACGACTTGCTCGATCGGGACGATTCCCGCGTAAATGACAGGCTCGGGTTGACGGAGGTAACATGAGTGGTATTTTCGGTTACCTATTAGTGTTTTGGGTGGCTGAATAGTAAATATGAAAGTTGTAGTGTTAGATATGTAAAAAAGATCGTTTCAAGTGTTATGTACGTAAAAACCCCAAAGAACAGCTCACTGTTCTAATGCCATGGAAAGAGACATAGTGGAAATGACACTGAAAGTTATATATATATATATATATATATTCCAACGGAGTATCCAACTCAGTTGACAGCATATTACAAATGTCCAAAATGGGAAGGCATTTATGGTTGACAAAGTATTAGAATAATAATAATTATTATTATTATTATTATTAAAATCGAACACATGATTTGGAGTTTAGATAAACTTTGCAAATAAGTTCAGTTACCATGACCGAGAACTCGCACAATACTTAAACATATGTGGTAACATCCCCAAAAGCATGAATAAATACCTCGTGCTTACAATTTTTTGAATCACCCCCACATCAAGACCCAATCATATGCCGGACTATTATTTAGATCCAAACCAACTCCAAGAATCATTTCATCGAATATCTCGTGGGCGCTTTGAAGAATCGAAAATATTCAAGATGAAGAACCTTAAGTCTAGTGACAATGTGCAATTATATTATTTTATTAGTACTCATAAAGCTAACAAAATAATATATTAATGTATTGAAGACCTGTACAAAGGCAATAACTGTAATGGAAAATTCTTGGAGCCAAAAAGTCAGCCAACATTGCTAACGTCCAAATCCCATATACAAATGAGAATGAGGAATGGAAATATATTAAAAGACAGTTATAATGATAAAGCAAAGATAATGAATTTCAAAAGAAGTTCAGGCAACTGCAGTAGAAGCTCATTTAAGTCAAAAGTGAGTTTGGCGTTGGTAGAAGGCAGAGTCGAAACAGAAAGAAGACAGAACAAGAAATGAAAGACAGAAGAAATGTTTTCTATATTCATGTTGGGAAAATACAAACTCTATATGTAGGCATAGTAGGTAGCTGGCCATATGAATGCCAATGTAACTATTACACGTGTAATCTTGAAATGTAAAATAATATAAATGACTTGTCTAACAGCCCCCCTCAAGTTGGTGGATCAGGAGGTTGTACCAGCTTGTTGGCAAGGAACTTGAAGCGAGGTGAGGGAAGCGGTTTGGTAAGCAGATCAGCTAGTTGGCCCTTGGTTGAGATGTGATGAATTTGAATAGTTTTATCCTTTATACAGTTGTGAATGTAGTAATAATCGACCTCGATGTGCTTTGTTATGGCGTGAAAGACGGGATTGTTGGCCAACGCTATAACAGAGGTGTTGTCACAGAATAGAGATGTGGTGTTGGGTTGTATGCAATTGATTCTTGGAGCAAGCAACGAATCCAAGTTATTTCAACTGTCGTGGAGGCAAGTGACCGATACTCTGCTTCAGTGGATGATCGGGCAACTGCGTTTTGTTTATTAACGCTCCAAGATATGAGTGAGGAGCCGATGAAATTGCAGTAGCCTGATATGGACTTCCGATCATTGGTGTCGCCGGCCCATGCAGTCGGAGTTGGCGTAGGAGTGTAGGATGGGCTTGTCACGAAATAGCGGGAGACCAATATGTATGGTACCTTGAATGTACCATAACAGGCGTTTGAGTGCTTCGAAGTGGAAGTTGGTTGGATTTTGCATGCGTTGGCAGATCTTGTTGACGGTGTAGGCGATGTCCGGCCGTGTGAGAGTAAGGTATTGTAGACATCCGACGAGTTGGAAATAAAAAGTTGGGTTTGAGTATGCAGTGGTCGAACAGTTAGCAATAGAAATTTTTAATTGGGAAGGAGTGGATACGGGTTTGCAATTTGACATACCTGCGGGGGATAGGATGGCTTGTGCGAATCTGCTTTGGTTTAGGTGAAGGCCGTAGGATGTTTGAGTGGCCTGTATACCCAAGAATTGCGAGAGAGAGCAAAGGTCTCACATTGTAAAGGTTGATTTTAAGTTGTCGAGCAGATTCTTGATGGCTTTGGAGCAGTTTTCGATGAGTAGGATGTCGTCGACGTAGACTAAGAAGTACATTTGGATGCCATTGTTGTTGTAGAGGAGGAGTGATGGATCAGATGAGCTGAGTTTGAATCCAAGATTTTGAAGGTGTTCGGATAAGGTTGCGAACCATTCGCGTGGAGATTGTTTGAGGCCGTGGAGCGCCTTTTTAAGGCGGCAAACATAGTCAGGATGAGTGATGTCGATGAACCTAGTTGGTTGTTTCATGTGGACTGTATGGCTATGAGTCCCATGGAGGAAGGCGTTGGAGACGTCTAGTTGGTGGAGCGGTCATTGGTGGTGTAAGGCAATTGCAATTAGGATCCAAACATTTGGCATTTTAGTGACGGGGCTGAAGGTTTCAGGGTAGTCGAGACCATGTTCTTGGTTGAAGCCTTGTGCGACGAGTCTGGCCTTGTATCATGCGATGGTTCCGTCGGCAAGGTACTTAGTGCGGTAGGTCCATTTGCACCCTAGGACGTTTTGTGAGGGGTCAGGAGGAACGAAGTCCCACGTGTTTTGCGACTGAAGGGCTTGGAATTCTTGATGCATTACATGACGCCAGTTTTGGGAGCGCACAACTTCTTTGTAAGTGGTGGGATCAGGTTCAGTGGTGGCGTGAACAAGACTGAAAATTTTCTTTGGTTTGGAATGCCCAGTTTTAGACCTTGTTTGCATGGTGTGGGTAGGTTGAGTAGTGGTTGACGGGTTGGGCATAACAGAGATATTATCGGATTGAGTAGTGTTATAGTGAGTAGAATTTTTGGAGGGTAATGTGAGAGAGTTGCTAGACATTGGCATAGCTGGAACAGATGGAGGAGTCGGAGGAGAAATGTGATTGGAGTGAGTGGGAACAAGAAGTAACGGTGGGATAAAGTCTGGAGCAGATGGATTGCAGATAGATTATGTGGGAGGATTGTAGGGAAAATGGCTTCATTGAAGATGATGTGCGGGAGACATAGATGTGGCTGGTTTTGAGATCTAGGCAGCGATAACCTTTTTCTGCTGAGGCATAACCGATGAAGATGCACGAGATTGAGAGCGGGAGAGTTTGGACATATTGTATGGACGAAGCCACGGGTAGCATAAGCAATCAAAAATTTTGAGGTGATTATATGTGGGAGGTTTTTGATATAGAATTTGATAGGGGATTTTGGTTTTGAGAGATCGGGAGAGCAACCAATTTATGAGATAAACTGAGGTGTTCAGTGCTTCAACCCAAAAAGAGTTAGGCAGGTGTGCTTCGATTAGGAGGCTGCGCATTGTTCTAAGATATGCTAGTATTTCCGTTCGGCGATGCCGTTTTGAGCTGGCGTGTGACAAAGTATTCCCAAGTTCTTGAAGAGGGACTGAAATTTGTTGTTTATGAATTCTACTCTTCCATCAGAGCAAAAGATTTTGATGTGTTTGTTGAATTGGTTATTGATCATATTATTGAATTCTAGAAATTTAACAAACACTTCGGATTTGTTAGTAAGAGGAAAAGTCCAGCAAAATTTTTAGTAGTCGTCAATGAACGAGACGTAGTTTCTGTAACCTTGAGCGGATGTCGCAGGGGAGGAGCCCCAAACATCGGAGTGAACCAATTCAAAAATTTGAGAAGTAGAAGAATTAGAAATCTTGAATGGTAAACGGTGGCTCTTGGCCAGATTACAAGCATGGCAGTGATTTTTATTTAGGTTGTTACATATTGCTGGAATGTATTTCCTAATAGCTTGAAGAGTTTGCCGTGTCGGATGACCGAGGCGTCTATGCCACAAGTTTGGCACTTCTTGAGCTGAGAAGAGAGCGAGATTGGAGGTAGTGGTAGAAAAACGGATGGGGTAAAGCCCATTAAGGCATGGTCCCTTGAGTAGAATGTGACCCGTCTTCGAGTCCTGAATTTGAAAATCATGAGCAGAAAACTTGGCAGTGCAATGGTTATCTTTGGTTAGCCGGTAAATAGAAATAAGATTGAAGGAGAGATTAAGTACATGGAGGAGATTTTGAAGGTAAAGTTTACCTGTTGGCGTTGGGAGAATACCTTTGCCGGAGTTCTAGATGGGGAGTTGGTATCCATTCCTGAGCGTGATTTGTTGGTTTCTAGTGTAGGATCTACTGGATTGAAGGTTGGACGGCTCGGATGTTAGGTGGTTTGATGCTCCACTGTCAAGAAACCAGTCCGTGGTGTTGTTGGAGTCGGCGGTGTGAATAAGGTGGTCTTGACGAGTTCTTCCGGAAGGGTTATTACGATACCAACATTTGATTGCAGAGTGTTCGGCTTTTGAGCAGATCTGACATATG